ATTGCTTCCGACGCCTTTGCTCCGGTATGGGTGGTCAGGAAATAGACGGGAACACACCATCAACGCACATGTCATGATACAAGTATCACGTACTTGTCCTTTACAACAAGGATACACCCCCCGTTCGCTTGCGTATGTTTTCAGAAAATTGTTATTTTCGCCGAATATCTGATAGCCCCTTTGAGGATTTGGTGTTTCATGAAATTTTCATAACGTACGCGTGAGTAACAATTCCCATTAACCACAAACCGTACTTCATACATTAACGGTCATTCAATCGCCTGAATGACTATACAGACACTGTCATTTCCTTTCTGCCCAATCGCACAGTTGTTGTTTTTTGCTTCACTCCATCCTGCTTTCTACGTGACATCCGCGTGCAGCCACGGCGTCGACTTTTTTCAAACATTTTCTGGTAAATTTTGTTGGTGACGCGATTGGTCGTTGACCAATGACAGTGCGCGGAACCAGGCATGAACCAACAAATAGTAGGATAATAGGTTACTAGGAGCTAGATCTATGCAGTATCTGTTTCACTGTCAACTGATCCTTCCGTTGCCCCTGCGAGCCCAACGCCTGACCCGATGACTAAAACAACATTCGCCATTTTACCCGGATTTCGGAGTGCGTATAAAAGCCAGCTGCGGTAGGTGACGTCTTAAATCCGGACCTGGCCGCCACCACATCAATACTGCTTACGGGAGAGAGAAGTGGAGAGATACTGGAGACAATATTTGGTAACAATAATATGGTTATTTATTTACATTCCGCTTGCACTAATGCATTTGTCGTCGACATTTTACAACTCCTGTAATTTTGCTTGTCGCAGCTGAACTATATCGCTGAGATTTAGGTCAGCATAACAACGTATATATAAGATCTACTTATATACTTAACTTATCTTATTATAACTTATCTTATCTTAACTTAACTTATCTTATCTTACTTAACAAACGATGCTATAAGAAATTAAATAGATTAATTTTAGTTCAAGTAGAAATTATAATATCGTATCGATGATTTTCGACCAAATTGGGGCATCAAAGTTGCGTCGTGAAACTACAATTTCTCGATGTCAAACTGTTTCCAGATCGAGCTTGGCTTTGAATATCACCATGGCATCATCGTCAGCGCCTCTACTCGCCTTACTGCTAGTGGCAGCGACAGTGCACGTGGGGATGATGGAAGTTCACATCTGTCCTGACGGACAAATGATCGACTTGCCAACTTTTTATCCGGAAAGCAACGGAAACAGCATATATCCCGGCGATGATGTGGGTATATTCGATATATACTGTTCATATAATAATGATAAATCTAAATATATCTCACATGCACTATTTCTCTGGCCCCATGCCTGTGTTTTGTGCGTAGATGTAGGTCTAGTTTTATCTTCCTTTCCCGGCCTTGCTCTTTCGCTTCCCATCATTCTCCTCCATTTCTTTATCCTTACTCCTTATTCCTTTATTATTATTTTCATAATTTCTCGTCCTCACTTTGATTGTAACCCGGTCTCACCAGGGCAATATCTTACCCACAGTGACGTACCTTTTTCTCTATACTCAAATGTAACGATACTGTTGCTAGACGTCCGATGGTACCATGCCCAAATTGCCCAAATTATAAAAACTCGTCTAAAATCCTGCGAATACAATAATCACTCAAATTTGTATTAATGCCAGGGCGATGACGCCGCCAATGAAATAAACAGTGCTGCAAGAACAGGTACAAATCCATATATAAATAATCATTAACTGCAATTTTATTATTACATCGTAAACGAATAGTATTCTGTAATATTTAATATTTATGCCGCGTCCATTTACTATGCATGCTTACTGTATAAAAACTTTATCGGGTGACGATAATATATGGTTTGTAGATTTAATTGCCGTGTCCTCGTAGTTGTCATATCCCCGCAGCTGCCGTGTCCCCGTAGTTGCCATGCCCCCATAGTTGTCGTGTCCCCGTAGTTGCTATGCCCCCATTAAATGACGTGTCTTCGTAGTTGCCGTGTCCTCGTAGTTGTCATGTCCCCGTAAATGGCGTGTCTTGGTAGTTGCCGTGTCCTCGTAGTTGTCATGTCCCCGTAGTTGCCGTGTCTTCGTAGTTGTCATGTCCCCGTAGCTGCCGTGTCATCGTAGTTGTCGTGTTAACGCAGTTGCCATGCCTCTGTAGATGCCGTGTCCCCGTAGTTGCCATACCTCCGTAGATGCCGTGTCCCCGTAGTTGTCCAGGCCCTCCGAATGATGCGCGTGTCCGTAGTTGCCATGCCTCCGTAGATGCCGTGTCCCCGTAGTTGCCATGCCTCCGTAGATGCCGTGTCCCCGTAGTTGACGTCTCCCCGTAGCTGCTATGCGCCCGCAGCTATCCTCCTGTAATAATCACAAGGATTATTCCCGTCCTCAGCAGGCCAACAAGAAGATATCGTGCGCTGTGCAAACCTGACAGGAGTGTGGTACAATCATCACGGCTCTGAGATGATTATCTGTCACGGAGCCGACGGTAGCTTGCTAGGAGAATACCGTACCGGAGTGGAAAGCAGAAATGGAACAGCAGGTACACGTAAATTATGACGTAATAGCGATCGTGAATACAGGACGATTCACGACGCGGACAGCTCATAAGTTGTCCTGCATCTGTATCTCAGTGGTTGACCTTAAATTCCCTTATAATTACCTTATATTCAGTGGTTCCTTATATTTACACACGTAGGAACCAGCCACTCGGCGATATACGGCGCCACGGCGGCCGTAGCGGACGGTGTCGGAGCAATTGGCTTCACCGTCGTGTGGAGTAACGGCACGTCGGCGACAAGCTGGAGTGGTCTATGTGTCCCCTCTAGCGTATGCACTGGCAGCAGCGCTCTCGCCAACAACGACCCCTTGGCCAGGGAGTACCTGGTCACCACGTGGCTGCTAACCAGCATGACGACGCCGGAAAATCTGTGGAGCGCAACTAGGTTAGTGAAATGACGCAACAACACCGGTGCGCGCACACGCGCCTGCAGGCTACCTCGCACTTCATATCCTGGACAGCGATCAATGTCAGCGCGATCGCGTAGCAATTAATCTTAGATAATAATATTAACATTATATAATTATTAAATAATATTACTTTTCCTCGCACGCTCTATTCACTTGCTCGGCAAAACTACCAAAACGCGGTAAAGGATTCATGTAATAGCCCCAGCGTTATTCGGCGGATATCTATGTACCCACCAAGAACGTACATTTGGTGATCCGATGAATAATGAAACACATCGTGCAGCATCTAAGTCGTTATGCTGTGAGTTTGACAGCTGAATGCAT